TATATATATATATATATATACTATGCTAAAGAATTATATGAATTAAGGGTAAAAGGAAGCAAAGGAATATAATGGAAAGTCTCACAGGATATAGTGATGTTTCACTGAGGGAGTGAGACATTAGTGGCCGTGTGGAGATGAGTGTTCTAGAGCTGGGGGCAAATACCTGCACAGGACTTACCTAAGGTGGGGTTGTGCAAGGGGCACATTATGTCGTGAGCTGAAGTGAGCTGAAGGGGAGGAATTGAGGCTAAGGAGGTGGGCAGGCTGTGCAGTTTATAGGGAGGACTTTGACTTCTTTTTAACTTTAGGAAATCAATAGAAGTTTGGATCAAAAGAATGACGTCACCTGAACTACATCTTAACATTGTGCTTGTACTGTTGAGAATAGATTGTGGTTAATGAGGACAGGTAGAAAGGTCAGGTAAGGCGTGATGGCAAGGTTTATTGGGCTAGAAGAGATGGTTTGGGAAATTGTGGCTACATCAGAGGTAGGTTAGATTTCTGAATTTCGTGCAAAAATGCAGAGGTGCTTGGATATTGAAATCCATGTAATGTAGTGTGGCCATTCTTACAGTAGGTGCTCTAGCCACACACGGTGATACACAGCGGGTTAGTATACATTTGTCACTTGCTGATCATTTCTGTACTGTGTGCAGGTTTTCTAACACCAAAGACTTTACTACAAAGACTCAAAATGATCTTTAATGTTTTAGAAATGTATCTTTTTTTTCTTTATAATTTTAAGTCCATATTAAATTTTTTGAGTGTGTGTGTGTAGTACGTGTGTGTGTAGTGTGTGTGTGTGTGTGTGTGTGTGTGTGTGTGTGTGTATGTGTGTTGGGCATGGAACCCAGAGCCTTGTGTCTGCTATGCAAGCGCTCCAGTACTGAGCTACATACTCTACTCTAAGGAAGTACTTTGGAATGTGCCATCTTATGTGACTATTGACTTTGCTACTTGAAAATACAGAGTCCAAAGTGGGAGTTCTGAAACAAGTTTATTTTTGCTGTTTTTTTACTGCCATGAACACAGAAATACTTTGTAGTTTTAAGAGAGAGGGGTAGATCAGCAGTCACTTTGGAAGCTTCATAATCTTTTTTCATCATGGCATCAGTTTGATAATTCTGGAATGTTTCTTGAGCTGACTGTTATTTCCCTAAACCACATATAATTCCAGAAAAGTTTTTAGGCAGCTCATGAAACTGTTTTAAAGTATTGACGAGAATGTTTTCTCCTGTGCAGTAGCCTGGTCTTCCTTACTACCATGCACATGTGTGGACTAAGTTTCTTGTTAGTCCTTACTGTACACCACTACACATATAGCTAGTGTTCATGTTGTGACCAAGATGAGGGGTATCTGGTATTCCACAGAATAGGTAGAAAGGCAAATAAAAATCTTACCTCTGAAGAACTTTAGAAGTATTTCATCTTCTAATATTTAGGTGTTTATTCTTTTAATATATGGCATAGGCATTTATGATTTATGTATATATATGTATAAATTATGATCTAAAATTTTTATAAACATACATTTCACATACTGTGAGCATGAGCTTTTCTCTACCAAATAGTATTCTTAACATTTCTCCAGTCACATGAATAACTCTCAGTTGGTTTATTGTATTTTGTCCATTCCTTCTTTAAGAATATTTAAGTTAGTTCTAGTATTTTATTACTGAAAAACATAATGTGTTGAACTTTATGACTTAGCTTTTAATTTGGATGTAGACATTTTCAATTGAAGGAATTTCTATCATAGTTTTATAAACATAAATCTAGAAATTGAAAAGCTGTTTCTCTTTAGTACTGAAGGATTGTGAGATGTACTGGCTGCTGCACAACAGTAGTAGATGAACACGTAGCAGTTAGGAGGTGGGGAGAGTAGGTGCTTAATGTAACTCGTGGTGACAGCTCACACCTACTGGATACTTAACTGGACGCCAGATCCTGTAGTAAGCATTTTATATGCATATTAATTATTTTGATCTTCGCTACATCTATATAAGGCTAGTACATTTATTAAACTCACTATTGATGAGAAAACTGAAACATTGAAAGACAACTGCTTTAAAGAAAAAACCTAGAATTATCCAGTTAAATGATAAAACTAAGATTTAAAATCAGTAGCCTGGCTTTAGATTCTGTTTGCCACCATCTTCCAGACACCCCCAATAAGTGCTAGCTACATGTTGGAGTGTTCAGTGGGTGCTGGCCACTTTCAATGTCACCTCTTCTGTGAGCTGTCTGACACACAGCTAGGCTTGTTCTAAGTCTAGTATTCAGGGACTCTTGGAAGGTAATTTAGTCCATACTTTCAAATCACTCTATCAAGGCTTGAAGCAGCACTGCAAGTCTGTTCATGTGTTCATGATTCTGAAGTAAAGCATATTTTGTTTTGTTACAGTAAGAGAGATTAAGAAAAAAAATACTAATAATCTCTGGGTTTTATCACACGCTGCTAAGTGAGTTATGAAGTTTTTTGCTTTTGGGATTGCAGTTGAGGGATTGGAGACCTGTGTCAAATTCTTAGCATAGCGCTTGGCATTTGAACACTCACTGTGTTGTTGGGCATGTTGAGGTTAGAGGACAACTTGGGAGACAGTTCTTACCTTCTGTGTTGTTGACACAGGGTCTCTGGTCTTTGCTGCTATACTGTGTACTTAAGACTACCTGACCTAGAAGCTTCTGTGTGTTCTCCTGTCCATGCCTTTCATGTTGCTATAGAAACGTTGAGATGACTGCTGTACACCACCACATCAGGCGTCTTTCAGGGGTTCAAGGACTGAATTCAATTTGTTAGGCTAGCCATCTGCCTGACACATCTTTTACCATATTAATTGATGGTGTAACTGTTTATGACAGCTACTGAGAGATGTTATGTACTGATTTAAATTATGTCATCATATTACTTTAGTAACAATATGATCTAGATACAAATGAAGTGCTCTTAATATGCATATTTGCTATTAAAACATATTAAGAAATTAGAACTTGGAATTAAATTAGTTTTTCATCCTTGGGAATACTCCTTTGAACTGTTCAAAAGATCTATACATTTGTTTTTCTTGCCTTCACAATAGGATTTTGTGATGTTAACATACCAATACTATAACAAAATACCTTAGATAATTCAGTTATAAAAATTTTTATTTTGACCTATGTGTAGAGAAATTTTAATCCAGCAACATGAATGTTCTAGCAAGGTATCACATCCAAAGATATGATCTGGTTGTCTGGAATGCAGCTGGGATCACAGTATGATCTGGCTGGAATACAGACAGACCTTTTAATCTCAAACAATAAAGATTAATTTAGCTTGTAGAAGGAAGCAGCCATAGTTCAAAATGAAGTCTAATTGAAGGGCAGACAAAGTGATGAACCAGAGAAAGATTTGGTTCATGCAGTAAGAGGCAAAACAATTCAGTGAGAAGCTAAGAGAAGCCAGATTGAATCAGTCATTTTGGAGAGGAGTTTGATCCAGAACAGCTGAGGTCAAACAGCCAGCTAGAATTCAGAAAGAACTAGAAAGGGTGAGCTTGTTCAGCAGTTGGCCTTGGAGATGACAATTTACTTTTGGTGGATAAAGGATACATTTATACTTATGGTTTTGGAGAGTTCAGTGTATAATCAATTAGCTATCTGCTTTTGTGTGGTGAGGCAGCATATTGTTCTGGGAGTATGTGGCAAAATAAAACTATCCACCTCTTAAGTGGAGCCTGATAGGAAGAAAGAGAGGGAGGAAATATTAAGTCAATTTCTAGTCCACAATCACAACAACTTAAAGGCACCCAACTATTATTAAGCTATATATAATAAAGTGCTATATTGGAGACCAAACCTTTACCACCATATGGACATTTGAGGGGCACCTAGTATCTAAACTATGGCAGGTAGTATTTTTTTTTTCTCTAGTGGTTCCTTTCAGTTACTGGAAATGGTGTTCATGATTCTTTGCTTTCCTTTTCTGTAGTTTAGTTTCAGTCCTTTAACAAACCTAACAAACTGGAAGGGCCTAAGAGATTATCTAGTTAAATGGAAACAATACTGGAAACAGAAGTGTAATCAGTTTGTTAATAGTGAGAATAGTTTTATTTTTACTTGGCAGTATTTTGATCTGCTGTAACTGAATATATAAAAATAAGGATTTGCTACCTTTTTATTTTTGGAAAGGACATGTATAGTCCACAGTTTATAAAAACGATAGTCATAATTGTTCTTTGGTGGGAATTGGGGGAGGGAGGAAAAGAATGAATTGGAATATATGCATAGTCGGCAAGAATGTGGACTAAAGAGCTTTATCATCTTCAATTCATTTTTTGTTGCTTGATCCCCCCAGCACGTCTCTCCTTTGGTAGCTGCGTCCTCTGTGACACCTGCTGGAATCTGGCATCATTATTTCATAAGACCAAGTGCTTTCATATTGTACATCTTGATTAGTTTCTCAGTAATAGATGCTGAGTTTAAATTCCTGGGTAGAAAACTTGGGAAGGAGGATATAATGTATAATAAGCAGCAGACACTGTTTACAAATAGAATCATTTGCTTGGCATGTGTTCACTAATGTAACTTTTAAATTTGACATTATTTAATTTAGGATTTTAGAATTGAGCAACATTGAAATAATTGATAATTGGTATTTACTTTTTCTTACAGAGAGGAAAATGGAAAATGGATAAAGTAAGATTTTCTGCTATATTTTAAAAGTTGTATTTCTATTATCTTCTCTAGGTTGCTGTAGTTAAACTGAAAAATGCAGATAAAGTCTTTGCCATGAAAATTCTGAACAAGTGGGAGATGCTGAAACGAGCTGAGGTACGTCTTCTCTGCTTGCAGCAATTGATGGCACTTAGGCTGGTTTTCATTTAGACTGCTATAAAACATGTTGGTAGTAAAAATCTTTGTACATGAATTTTTGAGCACTTTTGTGAGCTTATGTATAGTCTGAATATGTAGCAAGGTAGACTCAAATTATTAGTGCACCAAAATTAACTTTGTGTGTTTGTGAATAAGAAATTTCAGCCCAGCCATGTCACCACAGAACGCAGTCAGTGTAAAGGCTGTGAGAGAAATTTGATCTGTAGAACCTATAGTGAAAAGAGAGCTGACCACAGAAAGTTGTCCTCTGACCTCCACAAGTGTGCACCGTGGTACCTGATCATACATATGCGTGCACACATGTGTACACTTTCACACACAGGCAGTCAACATGTACAAAGATAAAAAGGTAGAGGAAGTATGAAGTGCTCTTAATTACAGATCTTGCTGTGGCTGCCCTGAGATCTCCAGTCTGTAAGGGAGGTTGAAATGATCTTAGGATAATTTTTCCACGAAAAGATTTTGTAGGTTGTGTGCATGTTACAACATCCAAGTTAAACTTACTTTAGTGGAAATCCTGGTCTTGGGGAGGGGAATATATTTAAACATTAGAAGCTAGTGCTTAAATGTTTTAATTATTAACTTAGAGTATGTAGTTGTGTGTTTTTCAGCACACTTGCCAATTAACAGATACTGTCATACGATTTTTCTGTTATTATTAAAGTTTGTTACTGACTTCTTAAAAATTAATGTATCTCATGTTTTTGGTTTTTTGTTTGTTTGTTTGGTATATGTGACCATCAAATATATGTTAAACTATATACTTGAAAGTAAATTAAAAAGTTACTGGGTCCATCTAACATTTAGGAGGTAGAGGCAGAAGATTAAGAACTCCAGTTTGTCCTAAGTTTTATAGCAAATTCAAGGCTAGCCTGAGCCACAAGGAGAATTTGTCACAGACAGACAAACAAAAAGCAATGAATTGATACTCTGCTATAAAAAATAGAAATTTTAAGATTTTTTGAATTTAAAATTCCATTTAGTTTTCAAAATAAAACAGTTAGACTTTAAATATGCTCTTATTATTTGAAAAGATTTCTCTATAACAGTATTTTGTGAATGAGAAAAGCCTTTATTTTAAAGAAATGAGAAGCCAGACTTAGGTATAATCATTAGTACACTTTGAATTTTTGACTAATGATTTTTATCTATTATTATTATTATTATTATTATTATAGTGTGTGAGTGTGTGAGTGTGCATGTGCATGATATGTATGTATCAGTAGAGGCATATACCTGCCATGGTTCTTGTGTATGGAAGTCAGAGGACAACTTTCAGGAGGTTATTTTATCTTTCCGGCATGAGATCTAGAGACTAGGCTCCGCTCCTCAGATTTGGATGGCAAGTACTGTTTACTGGCTGGGCCATCTTGAGGGCATTGTGCAGGTTTGATATGCTGCATATGACGGCAGACTTGATGAATGGATTTGACGGAAGCTCTAAAGAGTCTTACGGCAACTTTGCAGAATTATCATCTATGAACCTCATTTAACTTCTGTTTCAACATAGGAGTCTTTTGTTTTAATTTTTAATTCTCATTTCATATATTACATCCCAACCACAGTTTCCAATTCTTTCTCTCCTCCCAGTCCCACCTCATCCCCCCAAATCCACTCCTTCTGGTTTTTCTTCAGAAAAGAGCATGCCTCCCATGGATATCAACCAGACATGCAGTAAGACTAGACACCTATTAAGGCTGGACAAGGGTCCAAAGAGCAGGCAAAAGAGTCAGAGACAGCCCTTGCTGCCTCTCTTTGGAGTCCCGCAAGAAGACCAGGCTTCACAATTGTAACCTTCATGTATTCAGAGGGCCTCGGTCAGTCCCATGCAGACGCCTGTGTGGTTCTCTGTGAGCATCTATGAGCCCAGGTTAATTGGGAAAGTGAGAAACTAAATTTAAGTTAACTTTATGGTCTTAGGAACCCTTTTGTTATGTTGTGAGGTATTGTTTTGTTGAGACATACCATGTTTTCTGACTGGCCAAGGATGGCCTTAAATTTATGATCTTCTTGGTTTCACTTTTTAAGCACTGTGATTGTAGGTCACCACCTTTTATTCATTGTGTTTTTAGAGACCCAAATCATGGAGGGAATTTAAAAACAACAATAACAACTCCCACCTCTCCAAAACCCAGAAAATCAAAAAATCCCTTTTCTTTAGATATGAATTTTTTCCTTCAGAAAATATTGAATTTCTCTAGCACTTTCACACCACCAGAGTGTCCATTTATCATAGTTTGATACTGATCAAGAACAGATTTTCTTAGCAGGGTCACTGTTGATACTTGGTTATTTCTTGTGGAAGCTCTTCTGTGTATTGTATGGGGGAATTATCCTGCCTTCTTCTTACTAGATACCAATAGTGTCTTTCCGAGCTGACATAACCAGCTGAGGACAGTTTACATAGTACATTAAGTAAATATCTGGAGTGTGCCTTATATCTACCTAATACCCGTGCTTCAAAAAGAGTAGCTTAGTAATTAAATAGTTACATAATGCCTGAGACTGTCTTTGTAAAGTATGTATGTGTATGTTTGTGCACCAGTGGAACTGAGGATGGTGGTAAGTGTGTGAAGTGTAATGAAATCACATTGGGTACTAAAATAATTGCTGAAATTGAGTGATAGGATGTTGGGAGAAGGAATTATGTCAGTCTCTCTACTTCTGTATGTTTGAAATTTTATATCATAGTTTATTATATATTATCTTTTAAAACTTTTTTACTGAGTAATTTAGGATAAATTAGAATTTACAGTTTAGTTTGTTGTTTTGACTAATGTCTTCAGAGTTTTGTTTAGTTTGGAATTGTTGATCAAGTGAAGCAGTGATTGCTTACTAGGTTCCAGCTGGATTCTTTAAACATCTCAGGTCATTATCATTTAAGATAAAGCCAGGAAAGCAGTTTTTTGGGTTTTGTCAGCCTTCTAAAATATTAAGAACCATACTTTAATTTCAGCTAAGTCTTATAGCAGGACTTAGTAGAAAGTAGGTAACATGATTCTGTTTTCTTCTAAAGTGAACTAAGAATAATGTCATAGATTTTAGTAACTTGATTGACAGTTTAAATCATCATTTCAGATGGTTTAGATTTACTTTTTTAGTTTCTCTGATGTTGCCATTTAATTCCTGGCTTTGGCAATTTTTCTTTTCCAAATAAGTCTTGTGTGCATGAGCATGCTAGGGCTTATCGTGTGCTACTTTGTTTCATGTATCATGAGTACTCAATCTTGCTTATGGGTAACCATTACCAACAGTAAGAGCTGAGGACATAGCTCCTGGGTACAAAGATTGTATCCATGTACAGATCTCAAGTTCAGTCTTAAGCACTATAGCACACAACTCAAAAATCAGAAGCACTTACTATGACCATCCTTTTTTTGTCTCTTTAACAATGGCAAAGTATAGATACAACAAAATTGGACATTTGTATCATCTGGGTTGGTCTGTGTTTAAGTTAAATAATTTTGTGAATTTTTCTGTTTTGGACTATAGCAATTCTAAAAAATACTAAACTTTTAAGACTATGATTCACGTCTTGAGCAACTGTTTACAATAGTATTTTCTCGGTTTGTATAAAGTATTCTTTAAAACATCTTCCTTCCCTTCCAGACAGCATGCTTTCGTGAAGAGAGGGATGTGCTGGTTAATGGAGACAGTAAGTGGATAACCACTCTGCACTATGCTTTTCAGGATGACAATAACTTAGTAAGTAGTAGTGGATTTTTATATTTGTAGTCTTTTCTTGGCCGACTTTAGCCTTATATTTTAAAGTATTTCTTAAATGTAGATTTTTTTAAAATAGAAAAATTACTGCACTTCACACAGTGTCCGTAGTACACTTGGTATGTAACCCCTTGGTATGAGAATTTTTTGTCTGAGAAATTTGATGCTCTTTTATTGAATTTGCTTATGCCTTTAAATAAGAAATCCCAAACTAAATCCAGTCTCTTTTAATTTCCTTCCATTAAATTCTATAGGCATGAGTTTTGGAGTTTTTCTCTTTATGACTCTCCCATTGTATTTATTAGTAGTGGTCTGCTTTTTAAAAGTTTACACACTTTTCAAAGTGACCATGTGCTATTTTAAGTTGAGCCACATGTATATTGACATCATGGACCACTTCACAAGAGCTTGGGAGGAGGGGCCAGTTTTTGGAGTCCTGGGAGATGTGCACACATATCTGCTCACTTTAGATAGGGAACAAATGACACATTAAAGTACTAATACCACCAAAGTACTTGGTGAGACAGTGAGTTTTATTTGGGTTAATGGCAGGAGCAGAAATGACTCAAAGGCAGCTCTGTCACCATCATGCATCACATGTAGCATGTGGTTTGTAGTCAGAATTGTTTTTTAAATGACGATAAAGCAAAGCTTTGCATTGTTTAGTGTCAGAGTAAATGAAGTGATGTTCTACTTAGAAAGTAATAAAGGCTAAAATTCTATCACTATGTTCTTTTGGAGATAGATTTATCACTGTGAATTTATGCATTGCTTAAAAATCTACATTTTGTTATAAATATACAAGTAAATACAAAAAAATGATTTTAAATCATGAGTCCCCAATGTGAGTGCTGGGAATAAAAACTGGGTCATCAGCTGTTCTTATTGTTGGGCTATCTCTCCAGTCTCCCAAATGCCAAATTTCAAAGAGCAAAAAACTGCCAAAAAGTATCAAGATGAGGAAAGAAAAGTCTGAGCTGCTATTGCCGTTGTGTCTTCTGAGTTACTTAGTCTGATCTCCATTCTTTGCAAAAAATTTTAGGATTTACATTTCTTCTTCAGTGATTTTCCCTGAGAGCAGTAATCTGTATATTTTCAGTTATATTAATTATATTGGAATAGAAGTAACAGTATTTCAAAGAGGATCAAAATAAAACTTCTTGTCATTTACAAAAGTTAGAATTCAGAAGTCTTAGTTATTATCAGAGGCATTCTTTTAATCATTTAAAATTTTAGCAAGTAAATGAGTGTGTGTATCTGAGTTGTAACTACTATGCCTAGCATGTACAAGGCCCTAGGTTGCATCCCCCTGCACTACCCAAAACAAACCTGAAAACCACCCATAAGACCTATTTTGGAGCTGAAGCAATGACTTAGCAGTTAAGAGGACTTGCTATTCTTGCAAAAGACCTGAGTTTAGTTCCCAGCCACCACAGTGGGCAGCTTACAGGTGCCCAGAACTCCAGCTCCAGAGGAAATACCATCTTTTTTGACTCTATGGGTACCTGGATACCTGTGGTGCACATGCATACACTCAGGGCACATGTAAACTCATTCATATAAACAAACAAACAAATCTTTAAAAGGTAGTAGAAAACAAAACAATTTAAGAATTGTAGACAAATCTAGTTTTAGATACCCAAACAGAAACAGGTATTAAAGATATTTATTTCGCAAAGTAACTTTTTTGATTCAAGTAATTACTATTATTATTATTTTACTTATTTACATCCCAATCACTGCACCCCTCCAAATCACCCCCTTTCACAATTCTTTCCCTATACCTGGCATCTTATCCTCTGAGAGGGTGGGGACTACCTACCCACTACCCTGGCACATCAAGTCTCTGTGAGGCTAAGTACATCCTCTCCCATTGAGGCCAGACAAGCCAGCCTAGCTACAGTACATATCCCACAGCATGAAATAGCTTCTGGGTTAGCCCCTCTCCAGTTATTCGGGACACACATGAAGACTAAGCTGCGCTTCTGCTACATGTGTGCAGGGAGGCCTGGGTCCATGTATGTTCTTTGGTTGGTGGTTCAGTCTCTGAGAGCCCCAGGGGTCCAGGTTACTTGACACTGTTGGTCTTCCTGTGGACTTCCTATCCCCTTCAGGCCCACAATCTTTCCTCCTATTCTTTCATAAGAGTCCCCAAGCTCCATCCACTGTTTGGTTGTGGTTGCCTGCATCTTTCTGAGTCAGCTGCTGGATGGAGCCTCTCAGAGGACAGCCATACTAGACTCCTGTCTATATGGTTCAGGCTCCGCAAAGTAACCTTTAATCATTCTTTAGGTAACCATTTATAGTGTTCTGTAACTCAGACATTTGTATTAGATAATTTGGAATTTCATCTCCAACTTCCCTAGATATTTCTATGCGCACACTATGAAAAGTATAGAGCTATACCAAGAATGCCTTTTATGTACTTAAGCAGAAGATGCAGACTTTAATGTATGATACTAAGGTGTGAATACAATTTTTTTCGTAAGAAAACTCATTATATTCAAAGGTGTTGTGTTAAACACTGATGCATGAAATCCTTTTGTTTTTGAATGTTATGAATTAGTGAAATTTATCTTTTTCTCATATGTTTTTATTCATAATTTGCTTGAGGGAAAAAGAAAAATGTTTAAGCTTTAGTTTCTTGAATTAGCCTTTATTTGTAAATTATTTAGAAATATGATCTTATTATATATCCTGGGCCATCTCAAGTCATTATGTAATTTGGGCTGGTCTTGAATCCTCAGTCCTTTTGCTGCAGCCACATGGGTGTGGTGTGATTGCTTTGTTTTCTTTTCTTGTTATATGAGTATTGTTCCCTTGTAATATGATGTGGAGTCTGGGGTAGGTAGCACAGCTTGAACCTAGGACCTTGTCTATGTTAGAATCTGATTTGTGGATGGTATAGTCACTGAGTTATAGTGTCAGCCTGAAATAGAGTTCTAACTGGGCCTAGAGCTTGGTACTTCCTTACATATTGGACTTTTGGTTTGTTTGTTTGTTTGTTTGTTTGCTTGTTTGTTTTTTGAGCAGGGTTTCACTATGTTAGTCTAGGATCAAGTTTGTGATCCTCCTGCCTCAGCATCTTTCCCATGGCTTGTGATTGCAGGTATGTTCCAACACCCCTGGCTGAAATATTGCTTGTAATTGGGTTGCTCAGATTAGTAGTACTAGATAAAATAATTTGTTTATTTCAACTGGCCTCTAACTTGTTGTGTAGCCTGAACATCACCTTGACCTTCTGATCCTTTTGTTTCTACCTCTTGAGTGCTGGGGTTATTATCAATTAAATGTCATCATGTCCAGTTTGTGCAGTGCTAGGGATTGAATCCAGGCCTTGGTGCATGCCAGGCAAGTACTTATTGACTGAGTTATATCCTCAGCTCCATAGTTACAGTTTTGATCCTGTGAAATAACCTTTCCGAAGAATGGTGTTGCTTCTTACTCTACCCAAGCATGGTCACACTTTGTATCTTGTTGTGGCTGTTTCATTTCTTGAAGCACAATGAAAACTGGGCATGTGTCACTTGGCTGGTGATGACTGTAAATCTCTGTTAATATTTTCAGCCTGAATTGTTTGTCTTCTAAACATTTGGGAAGAACTGTACTGTTTTAGCACTGTTTTCTTCATCTATTTTAGCGCCATTATTTCTTGTTTATTTTGTTTATTTAAATGAGTTTTTAAAAAAGTTTAACCATATTAGGTGATATCTTTACATTAATTCATGAGTTAAAACCCTGTCCTACTAGACCCATAGTTTTACTAAGAAATTATTCAGAATGATCGAACAATATTGACACAAACATAGGCAACCATAGGAGAAGATAGTGTACAGGATCAGAGGTGAGTATTCTGGGATCTTAAAATATGATGAAGGCACATCTCAAGTACATGAGAGAAAATAATAGATTAGTTACCTACTCAGTTTAGATAATAGGTATTCCATTTACTAGAAAATAGACTTTTCGTCCTGATAGAAATAAGTTCTAGACAAATCAGTGAACTAAAATCAAAGGTTAGATTCTTTTTTGTTTGCATACTTGTGGCACTGGAGACTTAACTCAGGGTTTTGTGCATGCTAGGTAAATGCTCAAACACTAAGCTGTATCTCTGGCTCTTTATGCCTTTCACTGTGATCTTCTTGTCTCAGCTACCTCACTAGCAGGATTTCTGACTCAGGTCACCATACCTAGCTGGATACTTTTAAGAGGCTAAAGCAAGGAATCTGACATTAGGCTAGAACAAAAAAGTAATTTTAGGCAGGAATCAAAATATTAGGCTAGAACAAAGAAATAATTTCAGACAGGAATCTAAATTTTAGGCTAGAACAAGGAAAGGAAGTAGGCTTCAGACATGAAAATGACTTTGGGCTAGGACAAGGAAGTTGGCTTAGATATTTTGGTCATCCTGATAAGCCCTTAGAAACAGTGATCATGGGAGTGTTCACATAATTGTGTTTAATGCCTTGCTTGTTCTTTGACTATTTGTGTTTATTGTCTTGCTTGTTCCTTGCATCTATTGTATTGCTAGACCTCAACCTAGAATTAACCTTAATACATGCATTTAATTAAAAGAAAAAGAAAGAAATCAAGGAAGAGAAAGAAAGAAAAAGTCCAGTTTGTTTTCCTTTCCTTTAAAAAAAAAAAAAAAGAGGCTAAAGCAATTCCCTACATGTATTCCTGATGCACTGCGAGTGGTCTTTCATTTGTATTTCTCCACAAGTTATAAATTCTCTGGAGGTATATTCTTATTCAGTTGTTGCACCTTCATCAGATGAGTGTGATGTTACTACACAGTAGGTACTCTTAAAAATTGTTTATAGAATTGGCAAATTAATTTATTTGTTCTTCTAGTTCTGGATTCTATTTTCCATTATTGTGGAAACTACTCATTTTATCATAAGCCTGGGACAGTAAATTCCACAGAGAGGCAGTGGTCTGAATTAGGATACTATTAGTGGGTAGGGATAGGAATAGATTCCATACAGAGTTTCTAGGCTCAAAAATACCTTGTTTATTGAATTCAGTCTGGTGAACTAGATACAAAGAATGGTTTTCTCTTGAGAGTTTTGTGAATTTTTTCCTTTCCCCCCAACTTGATAGAGTCTACCTTATTAGCAGCTAATTTACTTCTGAGAACAAAGCAAACGAAGATGATGAACCCAATTTAGGAGGCAGAAAATGCAGGCGTACTTGCATATTTATCAGACTTTATCTGTCTTTATCATAGAAGACATTCAGTAAATCACATTGATAGTTTAGCTTTGAGTAAGAGGAATCACAGTAGCATGTGGATAAAAATTCTTAGAAGATAGATGATAACTTGGGAAACCCCATTTTGACTGTTGACTATCAAATAATATTTTTTTAAAGCAATTCAATGTTGTATGGTATCTTCAGATATTTTGGGAGTCTGATGTTAACAAGAATTGAGTGCCCTTTCAAGAGCTTAGCCCTTGGTGAAGGGCCTTCCCTATCTTTAGCATATGAGCATATCCTCAATGTTAGGTACATAATAATCCCAAGTGGTACTCAGTAAATATGTACTAAGAAATGAGTTATATTCTATATATAAATATTAGTCTATTTTAATTGTACTTTTTTGTGCCTTAAAATGTGTTACTCGCTATAGTTCTCAATAAGCTTCTTTTAAATTAAGAGATAAAATTTGTTCTCCACATCTGTCTCCATTTCTTGCAACCTGGTAATGCTATAGAATTTTATTAGATTGAATTAATTTATTAATAAGCTTCAGGGCAGAGTTAGTTAACTATTAGGATTAGTAGATACATCAAATAAACTGTAAACCAGGATTTAAAATATAATTTCCCTAGTTGTCAAGGCTGTAAATACATAAAATTCATTTCTTTGACATTTTCTATGCTTATCATTTTCATGTATCATAATGAAAGAACTTTTAAGCCAAATTTAAATCATATTGTTGGCTCAGTCAGTGGTATCCTAGAAATAAAATTGTTATTGGCTGGAAAGATGCCTTAAGGGTTAAGAACACATACTGCCCTTGCAGAAGACCTGGTTTCCGTTCTCAGCACCCACATGGTGGCTTACAACTGCCTGTAACTCCAGTTCCAGTGGATCTAACACCCTTTTCTGAACTTCTTAGGCACACATATATGCAGGCACTCATTTGTACTGCAAGTACATCTTTAGAAAAAAATCCTTGTAACATCAAGGCATGTTAAGTGGTTATATGGGCATGTATAAGTAATACATATTTGGAAAACAATCTAAAATGTAACAAAGTCAATAATGTTATCTATCATCTAACTCAGCCTGGTGAACATTCTGATATATACCTCTACCTCTTAGGACAACAAACATACATACATATATTCATACACTCATATATCTAAATATATATACATCTATGTATGTATATTTGAGAAAATATTCGTTCTGTAAGTGAGTGATACTGTCATTCACTTGGCAAAGGACAAAAGCAGCAAAAATTGTAATCCTGTCTTATATACCAAGTTTTATAATTTTATTTCATTGTTTATGAAACTAAGAAGTCTTACTAATATTACTGATAATTATCTTACATACTTAAATGTTAGTTAACCACACAAGTAATTACTCTTCATAAATATTCAGCCTAGTCCTATTTGACCCTGGGATGCACTACAAACATTAATTTTACCATAATTATTTTCTGAGTACATTCTATTTTTGTTCACAGTACCTGGTTATGGATTATTATGTTGGTGGGGATTTACTTACTCTGCTCAGCAAATTTGAAGATAGATTGCCTGAAGAGATGGCTCGGTTTTACTTGGCAGAGATGGTGATAGCCATTGACTCAGTTCACCAGCTCCACTATGTTCACAGGTGAGTTAGCCAATCTGTCAATGATGATCTTAGAACACACTCATGACTGAAGTTACATGTAATATCCTTCCTAAAAGGAGTATGCAGCATTCAGTTTCCTTATGGTTGTTTTTTATATACTGATGGTACTTAGAATTCTAGGCCATAAATTATAGACTTGTTACATATTTTATTGTTCTCAAGAAAAGACTTTGGCTAGGAAAACAGCAAAGATGAGGACCTGAATTTGATTCCCACCACCACATAAAAGCTGGACACAGTAGCATGTACCTGCTGGGGGAGAGGAGTGCAGAGCCCTAGTGATAGATGGCTGACCATTTGGTCTAGCCAAATCATTGAGTTCCAGGTTCAGAGAACTTGTCTTAGAAAATAAGGCAGGCTTGTTGTTTGCATTGCCAGTTACAGTAGCATTGATCAGAGACACAGTCTGACTAGAACAACAAAGGAAGGCAGGCTTGATCCCATTAGAAGGTTGTATTTGGTTATCCTCATCAGTTTTAGATGACAAGGAAATATCAGGAATTTTGTGAACTCTTCTGACAGCACATACATAATCTATATAGACAACCATATGTTGATTCTAGCAGCAGAATTTTAATAGCTGATACTGTGTAGGGAGTGAGCACAGCCTTACCCTGGCTTCTGTTCTTGTATTGTTTCCTAGGTTTTCAGAGACAGTAGTGCTGCACACTTGCCCTTCACAAGAAGACTTTCTTAGAAAATATTTTATTTCTTAGAAAATAGTGTCAGATTTAGCTTTTTCTTTTCTTTCTTTTTCCTTTTTTTTTCTGTTAAATCCTATTGCTGGGGATAGAACCTAGGGCTCTGGGCATGTTGGGTAAACAAATGTCCCACCTCTGAGGTACAGCACCAGGCAGGCAGCAGATTGCACACGGAAAGGTAGCACTAGAAAACAGATAATACTTTATGAATTAGTGTGAGGTTGCTAACATGAGAGTTTCAGAGGCAACAATTTCTTTTCTTTAAATTTTTTAAAAACATTATTTCCATGAAGTTACAGTGAGGTAGAATGGTAAGTGTGGATATGGAAGAGACACAGAGTATATGACCAAAATATATTATATGGAACTTGCAAATAATTAATACAAATATTTTAAAGTTTTATTTAAAAGGCTCTTAGCTAAAATATTTGCCCATATAGACAATTAATAATAGATACTAATTATTAAAAATGAGGAGTTACTTCATTTTAAATATTCAAAGATAGTTTTTAAAAAGTCTAAAATTATACATTTCTCATTATTAACTTTATTTGATAGCATCAGTTATTCTTGATAATAATCACATTTATGTTTTTAGTTCATAAGACTTATATTTTCAAATTTTTGTCATCTAAGGAAAGATGTTCATCTTTTTATATAAACTGCCATTAGGTATTCCATTAATGTTTATTTAAAATTATGAGATTAAATTGCAAAACCTTCTGAAATGGATTTATTGAGACATAATTCATATACCACAAACTTCATTTATTTAAAGTATACACTGGTGTTAGTATATCCACAAATACATATAACCCTTGTCATGGGCCATTTTAGAATATTTTCATTACTTCAGAAAGAAACCTCAGTTCCAACACTCTCCAGCCCTAAGAAAACATAAGTTACTTTTTTCTCCATAAATATACTAAATTTGTGCCTCTCATATAAATCAGATCCTATAACATTATAGTTAGGTTGATTGCTTGGTAAACTTTAGACTTTCCAGAAGTTTCTCAGACCCCAAAGTATACATTATATAACATTCCTAATGTATGTGTCACAGCTCCAAATTAATCCATCAGGGAATTATAACTCAGTTTCATGAGAAAAACAATAGCAACAATACTGAAAAACAACTGACAGAAATCCTAAGATATAAGAACAATCCGATAAAGACTTAACAAAGCACTTATATTTGATGGAATTGATAAAGTAAGGAAATTAATGAAATGATAAATATCTCCTCAGTGAAAGGGAAGTTATGAAAAAATAAACAAAACCAAATAAACCTAAACCTAACACAAGAGGGAATAATTTTTAAAAAGATTTATGTGTGTGAGTGTTTGCCTGCATGTATGTATGTGCACCACGGTCATGCCTGGTACCCTCTGAGACCAGAAGAGGGTGTTAGAATTCCTGGAACTGGAGTTAAGGATGATTGGGAGTCACCATGCGGGTGCTGATAGGTGAACTCAGGCCCACTGCAAGAGCAGCAGGTGCTCTTAACCTCTGAGTCATCTTTTCTCCCTGCCTCTATCCCCCATGGAATTGTTAAGAGAGAAAAATACAGCATTTTGAAGAAAAATATACTAAAGACCTCCAGGAGCAGGAATTAGAACATAAGTTAAGGAAATTAACCTCATGCAGGAGAGAAAGGTGCAGGGTGGGCAAAAGTTTTCATGTTGGGAAAAATAGGCAAATTTATAAAATGAAAATTGGAGCAAACAGTTTCAGTCCTAGAAAACCAAAACTAGCACATCATAAAGAAGTCCTCAAAGCTGGTTTTATGTTTGGAGAAACTGATGAATGGTTTCAGATACTTTTCAAACCACAGAGGCTAAGAGACAGTGGAGTCTTCTTAGATGACGGACAACAAGAAAGCTGTCTGTACAGAAGTCATACTCAGTAGCCATGTTCTTTGTGACTGTAGCTATGTTACCATGTAGAAAACTCTAAAGAATTCATTTCTCTGATTTTTCCTCACAAGAAATCAATGTACTTCAGAATTTGAGAAAAGGGTAACAGAAGTAAATCTGGGCTTTCAGGAAGGAAAAAGAGAACAGTAAATAGTAAAATTGTCAGTCTGTAAACAGTATTTTCACTATTATCCTGAACACATATGTTCATTTAAAGCAAGAGTTAGCTGAGGTACTCAAGAATGATTATACACTCTATGGAACAACTGTAGCATAATGGACAGTGTGGACCATTAATTCCAATATAACTACTGACTTTCAAAGAAAGTAAAACTGGGGAGTGGGAGAACAAGTGGCTTAGATTGGAAAGCAAAATTAAAAAAAAATAAGTTTATTATTAAACTTTGCAATGACAAAGCCTTGTGACCAAAAATGCATTAAATATTTACAGTATCCAAAAATTAAAATGTGACCAAGACAGACTTGCAGTTATATATAGGGCATGTAGAAATGTTAGAGAAATTTAGGGGATGTTATTCTAGTGAATTCTTTTGAAGTGGAAATTAAGGGTTCTTTGGGAAGTGTAGGCTGGTGTTTTTCTGGGGCAAACATTTTCCTGAAGCGGACACAGGTGAAAGACTGTTTTGCTAAAGCAGACATGTGAAAGAACATTTCACTGCAGCAGACACAGATGAAAGGCTGTTGTGGGATTTATTTAAAAATGCAGCACCATCCTGCCTGTCCCCTCTCTGCCCTGGCAGGCTGGCCCGTCTTGCACTGGAGGGCAGTGGCTGGCTTGTGGAGACTCTTGACTCAGAGCTCCAAAAGCTCTCCACTCAGCTCACTAAGTTCCCACTGGTGGGTCACTATCATGCCAGCCCCATGCTTCAAAACTCCCACAGCCTTTTGTGGTGCATGTCAGGCAAATCCATGCTTTGCTGCCATACCTTTCTCTCTGGGACCCAGTCAAGTCACTGCGTGAAGAAAAACACCACACAAACAATGGTAACTCAATCGCTGGGCACAGCAACTAGAATCCTAATCTTGTATGACATATTAAATCTAAATCCTCCAGTGGCGAATCCTGGCGGGTCGGCCCTTGAAACCAGGAGACACGAGTAGCTACATCTTGTCCTTTCGCTATCCCTGTCCAAAGCCCCTAACTCTCTCCTGCTTCCTCTCTTCCTCATCCAACCCAGAAGTCCCTCCTACTTGCCCAGTGATTGGTCCCTTTATTCATTGGGAAAGGTTTACAAGAAGTCGCCTGAGTCCTTCTTCCAGACAGCCCCTCCTAAGAAAGTGGGATTAACATCAAAATACAAACACCAGGGCCATCCACAGCCAAAGGGTGTTCTGCTAAAGCAATCAAGTGAAAGAACGCGATGAAGGATTCTTCATTAATAACACACATGTATTGGTTCTCCTTACATTGTGTAGCTGAGCTCTATTTGTTGTGACTCCAGAGAAACAAACACACCAAAAAACTTCTGCTGAGGTTCCTGAGGCTTCTTGCCACTTCTGAAGACTTGGGCTGATTGGCAGAGTGATGTCAGCTGACGCAGACTCACGTGGAGTTTTGCTAAAACAGACTCACATGCTGAGGCGAGGCATGTGATGAAGCACGACCAGTGGAGGACACATGATGTTTGGAGGGAGTATAAGTGTGACCCAAAGGAGAGTGATGGGGCTTGCTTGCATAGCTAGCTCAGCTATGAAATTAAGGTGAACCTCATTACACATAAAATCCCAGAGGCGGGTACAGGTGTGTGGGGCAAGCTAGTGTAAAGAATGTACGGTTAAATCAGTTGGCCGTTAGTGCGGGCGTAGACTAATATGTACTGTTAAATCAGTTGGCCGTTAGTGCGGGCGTAGACTAATATGCATCTCTGCGGGTTTCTTCTTTTCAACTGACTTTTTAAGGGACTTTTGGCTGAGTATGGAGCAGGAGGTTACTGCAACATGACACCTCCTTTCTCAGTCATTATTTAGAAACACTTAATGGGACATTTATTATCTAGACATGAAACGTGTATAAACATTACAAAGATTATATCAGTCATTTTTGCTTTGCGTATTCATCAGGTAATACTTACTGATGATTAAATTTAATCCCCTTTTCCTTTCTTCTGTTCATTCTGTCTCATTTCCCGCACCTAGTCTTCCCCAGTTTCCTTTTCTATAGTGGATTTAGGTAACTTAAGGTATGAGTACATAAAATAAATTGATGCTAAGATGCAAAAAGGAACAAATACTCATAATGATTAAGACTTTATATTTGAGGGGCTGGTTAAGTGTGTCTGTCCCTCTTGCAGAGGGCCTTAGTTAACTTCCCAGCACTCACCTTAGGTGACTGTTACCCATC